ATCCTTTAACTATAATAAATTTAGTTATTCAAGGGTTTAATTAAGATCTAAATTAATTTACTTGAAAGTTTAATGTAAACATTTATTTATTATTATATTTATAAACATACAGTAAATCCTATTAATTTGATTCATAAAATATATGTTTTTAATACAGAATTTTGCTAAATTTCAAAACATTACAAATAAAACATTATAATTAAACTCGAATTTTGAACATTTATTATTGAAATAAATTGTAAATTGATAAATGAATCAATACTTTATAATTATTAAATTTATAAACTCTAGTAAACTCTAAACAAATATAAATAATTTAAAATTGCTTTCAATAAAGAATTTTTCTAATTTTCAAATTCCTTGGCATTTGTCTATCAATATTAAAATCACTTGTATTACTGTAAATACAAATAGTGAACATTTTTCTCGCATCTCTTGAATACCAATCGATAAAATCAGTTATAAATTGTTGACAAAAATTAGCGTAAACTTCAGGACTTGAATCGGCGAAACGGTTCAACTCAATGGTCGATAAATAACAAAAATCATTGAGTTGTTGACAGACAACGGCTGTTCTTACAAAACAAAATAGACCTAAAGTCTGGATTGATGTGTGTTTTGCCACCAAATGATACGTTTGGCGAAAACATGTCAAACAATTTTCTTCATTCAGATTACAAATAATTGTTGTCTGTATTAACACAAGTGTCTTGAGATGTGGGAAGCATTTCAATAGCGACTCAAACGCCACTTCTTTAAGGCGACAAAATGTCAGATCAAGTGATACTACTCTTGAAAAATGTGTCCATTTTTGCGAGTATTCATAATCACGAAAATTTTGAAAATCGAGACCAAGATATTCAAGATTTGGCTGCTTTTGGGCCACTCTTTGCAAACATTGCCATTGATTTGGATTGTTATGCAAGTCGTATGAAAATGCCTTTAATGTCAAACCATTGATAAGCAGTTCCAGTGACTCTTCGGTGAGAAAATTGGTATTGAGGTATAAATACTGCACATGTCTTGCGTAGCTTTCCAATAGAGTTGCCACCAATTGGTTGTCAATCATAATCCTATAATGGGATCCAAATCTTAATGACTTTATACTCGATGGCAAACAATTAAATAATCCTATTATGACTTCTGGTCGTCGTATATATATAAGCAATTTAGTCAATTCGCTCATCTCTTGGATCATATCAATCACATTCATTGAATGAATGCCACAAAGGTTTGCAAACAATTTGGTGACTCTTCCCGACAAGAGTTGTCCCAAATGGCGGAACTGCTGAGCCGTGAAGTGCTTACAAGAACCGCAAATTTCTAACCATTTCACTGATTGATATGACTCGAGGATATCATACAATGTGTTGTAATTGGTGTCGAAGTGACCGATTCCTAAATATTCAACATTTGGTAACTTCTCTGATATACTGATTATCAATTGCTTGCTTCCTATGAGACATAGCCTTCCGTCTGAATGGCACTCAAGATATTGTTTGGGAAATGTATAAATGATATGTTTTTCTGTCGTCGGAACCAATAGTCGGCGCAGAACTGGAAGTGTTTAGAGACTCTCTCCAGAGGTATCAACTCATGAAACTGGAGGAATGAAAAGATCTTTATCAACAATTTTTCATTCATAAAGACTTTATTAAAAAGTATATCCATTTTATCACTGATTTTGTATTCAATTTACAAATATTTTATGTGAAATAATACATATATTTCAACGATCTTTTTCATAAGTCACTAAATTATTTAAATTAAACTAATTATTAGTAATTAATACGTGTTTCACTAATTCAACAATGTAATCAATATATTAATTGCATATTAAATGGAAATTTTGAGTGAAAGAAATTCTGACATTATAATTATTGAAATTCCTGAATTAAATATTGTAGTTTCATTACTAAAATCTTGATAAAAATGGTCAAAAATACCTTATAATCAAACACTATATTTGCAAATATTTGTTATTTATTGAAAAGTGAAGCAATGCTTAAAACTATTCACTTTATTAAACTTTAAAAATAATTTCAATAAATAATTTTTCTTATTTTCAAATTCCTTGGTATTTGTCGATTAATAGTGAAATCTCCGGTATTGTTGTGAACACAGATTGTTTTTCTGATTTTCAAATTCCTGGGTATTTGTGGACCAATAGTGAGATCTCCGGTATTGTTGTGAACACAGATTGTGAACCATTTCTTCGGGTCTATTGAATACCAATCCATGAAATCAATAATAAAGCGTTTGCAAAGGTTTTCATATTCTTCGAGACTTGAATCAATAAAACGGTTCAATTGAAGGGTTGATAAATTGCAGAACTCGTTGAGTTGTTTACACAAAACGTCTGTCCTTTCATTGACGCCTTGAAACATACCTAAAGTGGTAATCGTTGTGTGTTTTGCGATCAAATGATACGTTTGCCCAAAACATGTCAAACAATATTCTTCATTCACATTACAAACAATATAAGTTTGCGCCAACACTAGTGTCTTGAGCTCTGGAAAGCATTTCAATAGCGATTCAAACGCCACTTCATTAATACGACATGAATTGAGTGTAAGTGTTATTACTTTTGCAAATTGTATCCACTTTTGCGAGTATTCATAATCACGAAAATCTTGAGAATCGAGACCAAGATATTCAAGATTTGGCTGCTTTTGAGCCACTCTTTGCAAACATTGCCATTGATTTGGATTATTATACAAATCGTATGAAAATGCCTTTAATGTCATACCATTGATGAGCAGTTCCAGTGCCTCTTCGGTGAACTCATTGTAGTGGAGATATAAATACTGCAAATGTTTTCCATTGCTGACCAATAGATTTGTCACAAATTGGTTGTCAAATGCAAAATCAAAATGCAAACCAAAATTCAATGATCTTATACTCGTTGGCAGACAATTCAATAATTGAGTTGCAATTACTTGTTGTTTGAAATATAAGAACAAATTTGTCAATTCGTTCATCTCTCGGATCATATGAATCACATTCATTAAATGATTGCCACAAAAGTTTGCAAATAATTTGGTGACTCTTCCCGACAAGAGTTGTCCCAAATGGCGGAACTGTTGGGCTGTGAAGTGACGACAAGAACTACAAATTTCTAACCATTTCACTGATTGGTATGACTCGAGAATGTCATACAATGTCTTGTAATTGGTGTCGAAGTGACCGATTCCTAAGTACTCAACATTTGGTAACTTCTCTGATAAACTGATTATTAATTGTTTGCTTCCAATGAGACACAGCTGTCCATCTGAATGGGTCTCAAGATATCGTTTTGGAAATGTATAGGAATTGTGAATCACATCAATATTGGGATCGATTCCACACCACTTCTCGTTAAATGATATGTTTTTCTGTCGTCGGAACCAATAGTCGGCGCAGAACTGGAAGTGTTTGCAAACTCTCTCCAGAGGTATCAACTCATGAAACTGGAGGTATGAGAAGATCTTTATCACTAATTTTTCATTCATTAAAACTTTCTCAAGAATATTATCACTCATTTTGTATTGAATCTTAAAGTGATTTTTATGTAATAATAAATTGATTTCAACGAACTTTTTACTATCATTAAATTTGATAAACTATTAAACGTTTGTTTAATTACATAACAATGTATAATAATTGCAGTTATCATTACTTTTTTAATTCAATATTTAGTGAATATGTTATAATTTATATTTTTATTTATAATGTAAAAATATAAAATAAACATAGAAATCTTATACAATATTTGATCAATGAATATAATCTGCATATATTTGGTTATGAATTTTATGGTTTAAGACATAATATATAAATTAATAGTTGTATAAAATGTACAAATAATAAAAATACAAATAATTACAAGTAAATATTTAATATGCTTGAAATTAAACCAATACTATTTTGATGTTAATAAATATAATTATTAAAACTAATAGCTCTCGACTATTTTTAAGTAATGCCAAAACACATATCAAAACAATACATTGAAATTACAATACATTAATACTTAAGGCAGTGTTTTGTGTTTGTCTTAATTTATTGCCCTAATTATAATTATTTTGTATTTTATAAATTATAATGAATTTAATATTTCTATTGTACACCTTTTTATATAACATTTTCTTCAGTCATTCGTATAAATTTAATTACAAAATAATTACACATAAAACTAGTATTTTGTTTAAAACTTTATTTTTTACCACAATGCTTACATTAATTTAATATACAGTATTTTAATAATATAACATTGTTTTACATTTAACGTTGTTTAAATAAATAAGCAAAATCACACAATTATAAAAATAAATCAATTGTATGTTTAACTTTATAAAGCTCTACAGCAATTAAAATGCTTGTTTTAAAATCTCTACCAAATGTAAATGAAATATCAAAATGTTTAAAGTATGTGCCATATGATAAATCTAGTTACATTTACCTTTATTATGATCCCAAATAATCCCTTATTCCTTACACTATCCCAACTGTATGTCCCAATCAATGTCAATCAACCCTATCCACCTTTACTCGGATTAAAATCACCATTTAATCTCTAATATTGGATTAAGGATCGGAGAGGCAGTCGGATAATCCTCTATATAAATCTTATTCCACTCGCACTCACTCTCAGTCCATACAAACACCACTTTATGTTCACATTCAACACTACATCTCTTACTCTTAATATTTAATAAAGTTTTAGATTAATTGTACATAAAATTGTGTTCAATTTGGTCGCGTTCACCGCCGTTTCTTAAACGTGCTAGATAATTCATCACTGCCACAATGTTATCATTTGTAAAGTGGTTATTTATCTTATCCCTATTTTTCTGCCAATATTTATGTCAATCAGAGTATAACAAGAATTCCAATGATTGCGGTTTGTATTCAATATTAAAATAGTAATCATCATTAATATCATTGACTTTAATCATGACATTTGAATTAAAATAATCTAGATTTCAAAAATTGCAATAAACCATCGCAAGAGAATACAAATGGCGATTGTCTTTATCCAACACAATTCACTGCCGGGCAGTTGGAAAGTGTCAAACATTACATCCAAAGCCGGTTTGCGGCCACACATCCGGTGCGGCGGCCGTGCGATACACTTCGGGTGCGCAAAGAGATTAAGTGTTTGTCAAAACGAGAATTGTCTGAATTGGTCGCAGCCTTTAAGGCCCTGTACGCCAAGGGTGTAGTCGACGACTACTCTCTAATTCACGGCACTTATTGGCCGTCAGCGCATAAGTTTGTTGAAGCGTTTCAGTGGCATCGATGGCACATCAACCGATTTGACCAGGAGTTGAGACAAATTAACCCTAATGTTACAATTCCTTATTGGGTATGAGACCTTGTTTATAAAACAAGCATTTTCTACAGTAATTAAACAACTATTTTGCAAATTATTTACTAAACTATAAACTATAGGATTACGCCAACGATTTCAGCGCACCTGAAATGAGTCCCCTCTGGTCTACCTTTGGTACGGCAGGCAATCGCCGGAACGGGTATTGCGTAACCGACGGTCCTTTTGCTCACCAAACGGTGCTTAACCCGCGGCCACACTGTCTGAGACGGGGCTGGAATGCGAACCGAACGATACCGGTGTGGGAACCGCCCGAATGGCTCACATCTATTATACAAACGTCAGAGATTTATGGCCAGTTAGTCACTCGTATCGGTTATACCGCACACTTTAAGATACATTTACACGTCGGCGGCTTTCACGGAGATTTGAGCAATATTTGGGCCACAAATGAGTATTGAATTATTACTTCATAGTGTTATTATAAAGTTATCATGTTTTTGATATTAATTGCATTTATTTTTCAGCCCGATTTTCTATCCACTTCACGCACATGTGGCCGATTTGGCGCTATTGAAGTGGCAATTGGCCAACGATAGCAATCTTGTGCCCCAATCCTATAATAGGGGAGCAAATCTTGACTGGCGTACGGGACGGGTCTTTCAGGCCAATGTCGAGACCGACCACTTGACCCACTTTGAAGAGATTACCGTTAAGGAGACGTTTCAGGTCGGGTTCGGCGAGTTGTGCTATATTCACGACCAGTTGGTTCAGCCCATACTCGACATAATAGCCAATAGACCGCCCAAACTGCCCGCCGGTGCGCTCACTCTTCAGCGTCAACTCCCGGCTCAAGTGTTTGATCAATATTTCCCAAAGTTTGCCTCCAAAAGCGGCACATATTTTGAACATTTTATGCCTGACTTACGAATGAACAATAAGTTTACGCCAGTTTGCGATGAAATGCCGATTGCATTGAGTTTCAACTCAACCCCAACCGGACGGCGCCTTTTGGAGCAGTTGCGGACTGAGGGGGGCGTTGACAACAGGCCCCGGGCTTTTGATTCCGAGGATCAATACTATGGGTTTATGAATGCTTTAAACAAATACCATTATTGTTCGCCATATCTCCAAACTAGATCACAACATTTCATGCGATAAATAAATATGGACTTATAATTTATAAGTTTTAATTCCCACCATTTTTAATCACATATTTTCATACAATTAGAATTTGAGATGAAATTTGAATTATTTGTGTATTTATTTAAAGACAATTTTATTTTAACAGTCCTTAATTGTAAAATTAATTATACTTTTGGTGTCACTGGGAATACAAGCAATATTTTTTACGTATTGACAATATTTTATTACTAAATTTTATTATTAATTTTATAAAATAAAATAATAAATTTAAATAATTATTTCTAAAACAGAAAAAGTTAGCTTAAATTAGTATTAAAGCAATTTATTTGTTATAAATTTAATAATTTTGTAATTATCATATTTATTTAATAAATATTTATATTAGGATACAATCTTTGTAAATCTATTGTGTATTTCAGTAAAAGTTTGCTGCAATTGTTTCAAATCATTTATCGCTTTCTTATTACCAGATTTTGCATACATTTCATTCATTTTATAGATTTTGTCTCTAATTTCGTGAAACTTTTCGCTGAGTTTTTCAATTTCATTCAAATCGCGGACCGTTTTAGACAAGGCTTTCGGTGAGACATAAAACGTTTGCATCAATCGATGTCTTTGTCGGACACTGTTATCCATGTCCTGAGACTGAGTCAAAGTCCGCGTATAAATCACTTCTTGAGATCGCAATATCTTCAGCGCTTCCAAAGCTGTCCATAAGGTGTACGGCATTAGGATTGAGATCATAATCGGTATAATCAGTGTCTCAATTAAGCCCACGTACACATACAAAAAGCCCATTATATTTGACAATTTGTTAATTCATAATTCAAATAAAACTCGCATTTAATTTATATTTAAAACAAATAATAATTTAAAACAACAAACATATTAATTTCAAATCTCGTGTCAATACATAAATAGAAACATTTATTTATCACATGAAAGGCTGGGCTTTAGTTTGAAGATATTGTGAACAATAGCGGTATTTATTCAAAACATTCATAAACATATAGTATTGGTTCTCCGCATCCCAAGCCCGGGGTCTGGTGTCCACTCCGGCATAAGTCCTGAACTGCTCCAAAAGGCGCCGACCGGTTGGCGTTGAGTTGAAACTTAATGCAACCGGCATTTCATCGCAAACCGGAGTAAACTTATTGTATTTGCGAGTTTTTCGCAGGTCTGGCATAAAATGCTCAAAATGTGTGCCCCTTTTGGAGGCAAACTTTGGGAAATAGTATTGAAATATATGGGCCGGCAGTTGACGCTGAAGAGTGAGCGCACCGGCGGGTAGTTTTGGCCGCCTATTGGCCAGTATATCGAGTATGGGCTGAACATTCTGGTCGTGAATGTGGCACAACTCGCCGAACCCGACCTGAAACGTCTCCTTAATGCTAATATCTTCGTAATGAGTCAAGCGGTCGGTCTCGATGTTGGCCTGAGATACCCGTCCCGTACGCCAGTCGTACTTCTGCAACAAATTATAAGTTTGTGGCACTAGATTGCGATCATCAGCCAATTGCCACCTCAATAGCGCCAAATCGGCCAAATGGGCGTGAAATGGATAGAAGAATGCGCTGAAAAAATGTATAAATAAATATTTAAACCATGATAAATTAATAATAACATAATGAAGTAACAATTCAATACTCATTTGTGGCCCAAATATCACTCAAATCTCCCCGAAACCCTCCGGCGTGTAAATGTATCTTAAAATGTGCGGCCATTCCTACGCGTGATATAAATTGCTGATAAGTAGTGGACGTCTGTATGATTGTTGTGAGCCATTCGGGCGGTTCCCACACCGGTATCGTTCCGTTCGCATTCCAGGCCCGTTTCAGACAGTGTGGCCGCGGGTTTTGCACCGTTTGATAAGCAAAGGGTCCGTCGGTTACGCAATAATCGTTTTGACGGTTCCCTGAAGTACCAAATGTAGACCAGATGGCACTCATTTCCGGTGCGCTAAAGTCGTTGGCGTAATCCTATGTTTGATATATTTTAGTAATTATTTCCAAAATAAATAAATTAGTTAATTATATTTATTTAATTAATTTAGAAAATACACATATTATAAACAAGGTCTCATACCCAATAGGGAAGTGTAACATTAGGGTTAATTTGTCTCAACTCCTGGTCGATTCTATGGACATGCCATCGATGCCACTGAAATAATTCAGCAAATTTATGCGCCGACGGCCAGAAAGTGCCGTGAATTAGGGAGTAGTAGTCCATCACTCCCTTGGCGTACAGGGCTTTAAAGGCTGCGACCAATTCAGACAATTCCTGTTTTGATAAACACTTGATCTCTTTGCTCACCCGAAGTGTATCGCACGGCCGCCGCACCGGATGTGTGGCCGCAAAACGGCTTTGAATGTAATGTTTGACACTTTCTATCTCTCTCGCAGTGAATTGCTTTGGATAAAGACAATCATCATTAGCTTGCGATGATTTTTTGCAGTCATTGAAATCTAGATTAGTTTAGTTTAAATATATTAATATTGTTTATTATAGTAGTAATTAGTGTTTTGTTATTTAATACAAACCGCAATCATCGAAAAGTTTGAATAATTCTGATTGACATAAATATTGGTGAAAAAGTAATGATGAGATAAACAATAACTTTATATAAAATAACATTTTCACATCTTATTTATTATTCATTTAAATACAATCATTAGTGAAATAATATTTATAAAATATAGTATAATTTATTTGTGAATTAAATGAAACTACATTTATAACTAAATGTGTGATTTTTATAAGTTGTTTGAGCAAAATTGAAACTAAATAACTTTTAAATTTCTGTTTAACTAAAAGTTACTGTGAAAAGCATTTGCGAAACAATTTTTCTAAACTTTTATTTACTATAAAAAACAAATTTAAGGCATAGGTTTAACTCTATTGTAATAATTGAGACAATTATCAAAATTATACGTTTGGGTGAAGAAAATGATATATAAAAAAGAAGTTTTAGTTGTAATATTGTATTTATTATAAAATATTGTGATATTTAGGGCAATAAAATTGAGGTAAATATAAATTGCTGCCTTAAATCTCATTTCAATGCTATTGTTTTGATATGTCTTTAATTGACTATTAGTTTTAATCATTTATTAATTAATATTAATTCAAACATTTTTTTAACTATTATATATTTTTATGAGTTAATAATTTGTAAATTATTGTTAATACTATATTTCTTTTATAAAGTTTGTTAAATATTGCTATTTTTACAAAGTATTGCACTCATGGTAGAGGGTGTCCTTCACCTAAACAAACAAATTTAAATATTTTGGTAAAAATAAATAAAAAATAATTCAGTTTTACCGACAAATCGATTCTTTTTCCGATTATTATAATAATTTATTATAAATTTAAGTCAGATTTAGTAAATAAAACAAACAAAATTGTATTTTATAATAAATATAACATTAAATAATTGAAATTATAATCTTGAGAAAATTTGAGAGGGAGGGAGAGAGAGAGAGAGAGAGAGAGA